TTGTAGGGCATGTGCACTCACCAGAAAGACAGAGAGAGACAGAGAGACAGAAAGCGAGAAATCACCCCCCCAAGGGGGATGGCCATGCCACAATCCCTTCTCCTCCATTCTCCTCTCAGGATCTTGGGCACGCGCGCACACGCACCTGGCGTGAGTTTAAGCCACCAGGTCCGGGACTCAATCCGCAGTTGACTACATGGAAGTCCAGTGACATAGCTATTACACTAACTGCCGGTCCCAGCCACCTGGGTCTTGAAGCACTACCTGAGGTTGTATCCCATCAAAGAAGGGGAACACCAGGAAACAACCTAGTCTCTAATTACTTACATATCATTAATAACTAGTAATAAGCAACACTTAACATGTGCCATATACTCCACTAAGTATTTTATATTGATTGTCTCACTTCAAGCTTACAGGATCCTTTTAAGGTAAGTCATGCTAATTTTTTAAAGGTAAATCATGGTATTATCCCCAGTTTAAAGAGAGCAAACTGAGACTTAGAGATATTATTTCACATGCTCAAGTGAACACAGCAAGTGGTAGAAAAGAGAGTTGAGCTAAAGTGGTCTAATTCCAGATGCCTGGTCTAGAATTTTTCCCTTTTCCTCAGGAATTGCAAACTAGAAGCCCAATTTAGAAGCCACTATCTTGTTCAGCACACTCAATCAGTTTGGCTCCCTGCATTAAGTATTAAAACATATTGTATTCGACAATGATGGCACTAATTGACATTCTCATCAATAGTGTTTTTAGTGTCTCAGATTTGTTCCTTTTGCTCAAGATTGGTTTGGCTATTCAGGGCCTTTGTTGGTTCCATATAAATTTTATGATTGTTTCTTCTCTTTATGTGAAAAGTTTCATTGGAATTTTGACAAGAATTTTATTGAATCTGTAGATTATTTTGAATAGTGCCAACATTTTTAATCATTAATTCTTCCAATCCATGAACATAAGATATCATTCCATTTATTTGTGTCTTCTTCAATTTCTTCCACCAATGTTTTATTGTTTTCAGGATACAAATCTTTCATAGCTTTGGTTAAATTTACTTCTACATTTTGAGACCAGTAGATGGCATGTGGTTACATCATTGGACTCCCATGTAGTCAACTGCAGTTCAAGTCCCAGTCTGGTGGCTTCAAATTCATACCAGGAGCATGTGCATGTGTGCCTAAAATCTTAAGAGGAGAATAAAGGAGAAGAGATTGTGGCATGGCCATCCTCCCCAGGGGATGATTTCTTGCCTTCCCTCTTTTTCTCTCTCTCCCTCTAGAGCACACACACCCTGTAGCAAAAATCTCTCTAAAATAAAAAAATATTTCTAAGCTTTTATCTTATTGATGTTATCATAAATGTATTCTCTTGATTTCTTTTTTCAGATTGTTACTGTATAGAAATGCTGCTAATATTTCTATGTTGATTTTGTGAAACTTTCTGAATTCATTTAGTATTCTAACAGATTTTTGGCAGTCTTTAGGGTTTTCTATATATATGATCATGTCATCTGTGAACAGAGACAATTCAACTTCTTCCTTTCAAATTTAGAGGCTTTTTATTTCTTTTCTTGCCTAATTGCTCTGGCTAGAATTTCTAGTCATGTGGACTGAAAGGGGCAATAGTGGACATCTTTGTCTTATTCCTGATCTTAGAGGAAAAGCTTTCAATCACCATTTTGTATGATATTAGCTGTAAGACTGTGTTGCGATAGATACCTTTTACACCATTTATTGAGTTCTTATCATGAAAAGATGTTGAAATTTATCAAATGCTTTTTCTGTATCTGCTGACATGATCATAGGGTTTCCTAAAAAAATTAAAAGTAGAACTACTACATGATTCCATACTTCTACTACTGGGTATATATCCCAAAAAAAAATGAAGTCCTTATGTTGAAGAAATATCTGCACTCCCAAGTTCTTTGCAGCATTATTCACAATAACCAAGACATGGGATCAACCCAAGTATCCATCAATAGATGAATGAATAAAGAAAATATTATAGAGACCAGCAGTTAGCATAATGACTATGTCGCTGGACTTCCATGTATTTGATCGTGGTTTCAGTCCCGGACCTGGTGGCTTAAACTCACACTGGGCGCATGTGCGTGCATACCCAAGATCCCGAGAAGAGAATGGAAGAGAAGGGATTACGGCATTGCCATCCCCCCAGGGTGTGATTTCTCACTTTCTGTTTTTCTATCTCTTTCTGTCCTTCTGGCAAGCGCACACACCCTATAGCAAATACCTCTCCAAAAAAAATTAATATATAGATATATAAAATATTATTCTACCTTTAAAAAAGGAAATCCCATCATTTGCAACAACATGGATAAACCTGGAGAACATTATATTAAGTAAAATAAGCCAGACACAGAAAGACAAATATAGTATGAGCACATTTATATATGCCTAAAAAGTTAAACACATAGAAGCAGTGAGCAAAATACTACTTACCAGGGGCTAGGAAAGGTGGGAGGGAATTGGGAGAAAGTCAAAGATACAAAAATTTTTATTTAGACAGAAGAATAGTAAAACATAACTATTGACTATAGTTAACAATGTATTTTATACTTGAAAATTGCTAAAACAACAGGTTTTCTTTTTCCTTTATTTATGGTAGATTGCATGTGTACACAAAAGAGAATGAGAAAGAGAAAAGAGCACCCTCCACTGGGTCTGGTCAAGCCCTGATCCCCTTCCTCCAGTCCTGTAGGCCATCAGATCCCAGGCATTTACACATATGAGAGGCTGGGAATTCGAACTGCAGTAGCCTTGTGAGATCCAGTTCATCTTGAGCTGCACATTACCACTGCTTCACAGAATCATCCCTAAGACAATAGATTTTAAGTGCCCTCAAAATTCACAAAAACAAAAAATAAGTACACAAAGTAATGGATATGTTAAGTATTTTTGTTTAGCTATTCCACAATGCATATTTTTTATATATTTATATATATAAACATTATGTTTTACACTTTAAATATATACAGATTTTATTTGTTAATCTAAAAAATACATTTGCTGAGGGTGGCAGGTGGCATGGTGGTTAAGGCACTGGATTCCCACATGGCCTACCACAGTTCAAGTCTTGAACCTGGCAGCTTGCTTTCTTGGTTTCCCTCTGTCTCTCTTTCTGATCGATATTAAAAATAAATAAATAGGGCCAGCAGGTGGCATGGTGTTGGGGTGCTGTAGTCCAACATGGCTGACCGTGGTTTGAGTCCTGGTTGTACTCCAACATGGCTGACAGTGATTTGAGTCCTGGACATGGTGGCCTCCTCTCTCTCTTTTCCTCTCTCTCTTTCTCGGTCTCTCTAGTGAATTAAAATAATAATAATAAATTAATAAATAATTCTTAAAATAAATATTTTTAAAAGAAATTGTATTCTTTTTAAAATATATACATTTGCAAGGCTGTGGTGAAAAGGAAACTCTCCTGCACTATTGGTGGGAATGTAAGTTAGCACAGCCACTATGGAGAACAATATGGAACATCCTCAAAAACCTGTAAGTAAAACTACCACAAAATCCAGCAGTTCCTTCCTGAGTGTCTCCCCAAAAGTAGGAATGCACATCCAAGTTTATTGTGGCATTATTCACAATTGCTAAGACATAGAATCAACCCAAATGTCTAAGACAAGATGAATGGATTGAAAAAGTATGGCACCTATACACTATGAAATACTACTTGGCCATAAAAAAACAATGAGACCCTGGCATTTGGTAGAACATGGATGAATATGGAAAATTTAATACTGAGTGAAGCATGCCCGACTATGAAAGAGAAGCATTGTATGTCCCCACTTAATATATACCAAATGTCTGCACTGTATGACAGAAACTGAAAGATTGGAAGTTATAAAGGCATAGAGAGCAACTACAGAAACCAGAGACAGTATGGGAGGAGGGTGGGCATGGGAGAAAAAGACTGAGAGGGGAAAAAAAGAAAAGCAAAACATTCAACAGACATGGAAGTGTAAATTATATTTTAAGGAAGATGTGTAAGGTAATGCCTTTGACTGGACTAATATGCAGTATATTCATGATGGAAGATTTCTTTTGAATGCTGCAAAGATGTACTGCAATGAAGTGTAAATAAAACAAATAACATGGAAATACATTTAACCATTTTTTAAAAGATAGTGTGCAGAGGCAGTTATGATGCAGGTCAAAGTGAGCAGCTCAGCATCAAATGGTGTACATTTTGCTAGACCGATTCACTTCACTGACTGCTTCCTCCTACAGGTGTTGACATCAGCAGGCTCTTCCCTATTAGACAAATTATTTTCTCTCACCATCCATATGTTACTCCTCTACGAAACAAGAGAGTTGGACTAGATAGTCTATCTCAAAGGTCCTCCCCAATTCTAAAATGTTATAGATCTAACATTTTCTAGATATGGGGCTGTTCTCTCAGGTCTAGTAGCCAGGGTCAGTGAAATGATCTGCCATTTCTAGTGATGCAGCATATGGAGACCATGACCACCCCTTGCTACCTCTTTCCAGTCTCTGATACCCAGAGAGAATAGCCTTTCAACTCCAGGCCAAAGAAAGACACAGAGAAGAAAGGCTGAATTCAGTTAAATGAGCAGAGTTCTCCTTCTGTGAAGATTAAGTAAAAATCTCTAAAAATGAGGGGAACCAGCAGTTAGCGTAATGGCTATGTCTCTGGACTCCCACGTAGTTGACCGCGGTCCGCGTCCCGGACCTGGTGGCTTAAAACTCACGCCGGGCGCGTGTGCGTGCGTGCCCAAGATGCCAAGAGGAGAATGGAGGAGAAGGGATTGCGGCGTGACCATCCCCCCTGGGGGGTGATTTCTCGCTTTCTGTCTCTATGTCTCTCTCTGTCTGGTGAACGCACATGCCCTATAGTGAAAACCTCTCAAAAAAAAAAAAAATCTCTAAAAATGTTAGGGGAGAAACACATCCCAAAGCATGCAAGGAAAGGTTTAAGTGGACTCAGAATGTCTTTTGCTAATTGTGAGTTTTCTGCCCCAGGGAGAAGCAAAGATGCTAAAAGATGGGAAGGTCTTCAGAGTGATCCAAGAGAACTGCTGGGATCCAGAAGTTCGTATTAGAGAAATGGACCAAAAAGGTACTTTCAATGAGAAATGCTACCAGTGTTTGCATCTGATGTAAAAGCATGTCTGCCCTTAGTTTTTTGACCATTTAATGTGATTTATATGGCAGCAACTTCTGACCTCCTTATCTTTATTGGAAGAGGGATGGGGCTTTCCACTACAATGCTTTTAGAGTGTGAATTTAAAATGTTTTTTTTAAGATCAGGGATGCTCTGTTTTAAAATAAAAAGTTATTTTATCAAAGAAAGAAAATGCTCTATCATCACAATAATATTTTATTATATGTAACATTTTTAAGTTCAACTGTGTAGTATTTACTTTTTAAAGACTTACTGACTAAGGATGCCACTCACATGCTTAGTCAGAATTAGGGATCCAATTTCTTTCTGTAGTTTGTGTCAGTGTGCTATACACAGAACATCCCCATTGATACATTAGGGCCAGAAATGGGAGTAGTTAAAAAGTTAATTGAGGGCCAGCAGGTGGCATAGTGGTTAAGGTGCTGGACTCCCACATGGTCAGTCATGGTTTGAGTCCTGGACCTGGCAGCTTGCTTCCTCACTTTCCTGTCTCTCTCTGTCTCTCTCTTCTCTCTCTCTTGTGAGCACATGTGCCATATAGCAAATTAAAATAATAATAATTAATAAAATTAAATCAGTAACTCTATGAAAAGAGTTAATTTAATAATCTTGAATACTCTGCAATTAAACCAATCTAGAAATTTGAAAGAAAAATTAGAAAATTTCTGTTTCAAAGATGAATTGCTAGCAATTTCTAAGAACTTGAAATTGCACTCCTCATCTTTTACTTGAAGATCAAGTCTCTACAACTTAAAAGAATGTCAAAGGCTATGTAAAATATGGCCACGTGATGTTTTTCCTTGTCACTGGCTGGCTGGCTGTACCACCTGAGAACAACATGCTCAAAAACATGCACCAAGACTTTTGGACACAGGTGGGCCATGTCCACTGGCCATGATGGGGAACTTACCAACGCTGACATTGTTGAACCTAAATTTTAATATCAGCAGGATAGATTAAAACCAGGAAATAAACAATTCATACACACAAATAAAAGAGCAGTTTAGGGCACCAGTGGATGGCATAATGGTTGTGTTGCTAGACTCCCACATAGTTGATGGTGATTTGAGTCCCAGACCCAGAGGCTTCAAACTCATTCCAGGAGCATGTGCACATGTGCCAAAGATCCCAAGAGGAGAATGGAGGAGAAGGGATTGTGGCAGGGTGATTTCTTGCTTTATGTCTCTCTGTCTCTGTCTCTCAGTGAGCACATGCACCCTATAGCAAAAATATCTACAAAAAAAAAATTTTAGGGACCAGCAGATAGTGTAATGGTTACATTGCTGGACTCCCACATAGTTGACTGCTGTTCAAGTCCTGGACACGGGGCCTTAAAACACACCTGGTGTGTGTGCATGCATGTCCAAAATCCCGAGAAGAGATTGCAGGAGAAGGGATTGAAGGATGGCCATCCACCTGGGAGTGATTTCTTGCTTTCTATCTCTTTGTCTCTCTCTCTCTGATGAGTGCACATACCCTATAGCAAAACTCTCTCTTAAAAGAAAACGTAGGGACCAGCAGGTAATGTGGTGGTTAAGGCACTGGACACCCCAAATAACTGACCATGGTTTAAATCCCAGACCTAGTGGCTTGCTTTCTCACGTCCTCACTCTTTCTGTTTCTCTCTGTCAAATTAAAAATAAATGAATGAACAAACAAAATGAAAAAAAAAATTTAATGTAAAAAAAGAGCAGTTTAAAACTACCACCTTCCTGGCCCAGCTGCAATACGACAGCAGTAATGTGATGTTCTGCAATTCTGAAAGTCATTTGATAGGTGAGGGTTTGGTTCTAGGTTAGCCAGTATGCACTGGGCCTAAGTGTGCATCCATGATTCTATGTGCTTGGGAAAAGCTGGTGTGTGGCAGCAGGGGAGTAGGGATCACAGCACAAGACTCTATTGAGGGTACTTCTCTTTCATGCACATGTGAAAGAAATGTATAACCTTAAAAAAAATTAACTACCACCTTCCTAATCAAAGACAAATTTATAAGAAGTTCAGATACTATATATATAGAGAGAGATAGCAGGAGACATTTTATTCCAAGGTATGCAAACAAAAGAAGTCAATCTCTCAGCCCAAGATGAGTAGTAGTCTCTAGAATTTGTTGTAGAATTGAGTTGATCAGGGTATTGCTTTATACATTTTTTAAATTAAAAATAAATTTAAGGATGGGACCAGCAGTTGGTGTAATGGTTATGTCGCAGGACTCTCATATAGTCAACCATGGTTCGAGTCCCAGACCTGGTGGCATAAACTCACGCCAGGAACGTGTGCGTGCGTGCCCAAGATCCAGAGAAGAGAATGGAGGAAAAGAGATTGTGACATGGCCACCCCCGCAGGGGATGATTTCTCACTTCTGTCTCTCTGTCTTTCTCTGTCTTTCTGTCTTTCTGTGTGCCCTATAGCAAAAAACAAAACAAAACAAACAAAAAAAAAGAAAAACTCTCAAGGGAACCAGCAGTTAGCGTAATGGTTATGTCGCTGGACTTCCACGTAGTCGACCGTGGTTCACGTCCCGGACCCGGTGGCTTAAAACTCACGTCGGGTGCATGTGCGTGTGTGCCCAAGATCCCGAGAGGAGAATGGAGGAGAAGGGATTGCGGCGTGGCCATCCCCCCTGGGCGGTGATTTCTCGCTTTCTGTCTCTATGTCTCTCTCTGTCTGTCTGGCGAGCGCACACGCCCTATAGCAAAAACCTCCCCCCACCCAAAAAAAAAAAAAACTCTCAAAAAAGAAATTTAAGGGGCATTCAAATGAACTTTGAAGAAAGCCTGAAGCAGCTCTGTAGACCATTCCACAGAAGATGATATATATACTCCTGTCTAAAAGCATATTGAGTTGGGAGAAGAGCTGGACAAAAGAAAAAAAACATACTTACCAGACCTACAACAAAGAGCAAGGTTTCGCTGTAAATGTGAAACTACAGAAAGGATCCACTCTTTCAAGGAGAAAACTAGTGAGAATAAGACTTTGATGATTATTAGAAACCATTGCTTATGACTTCAGTATAGATGAAGTGAGTTTCTCCTTTAGTTTTTGGTGTGTGTTTCATTGCATGGCTGTCCTCGAGACAACAGTGACTGACCCTTACTGAGCATTTATTTTGTGCCAGGCACTGTTCTAAGCACTGAACATGTGTTCAATCACTTAATCTCTATAACGGCCTTAGGAGGTAGGCTCTCTAGAGGGCAAGAGATTCTTGGCATGCAGGATTCTGGATTCTGAGCGAAACTCAAGGTCCCATCCCAGGTATTCCAGACTATAAGACTCCATATAGGTTCACTTAGGTGAAGTAAAAGGGCAGGGAACGTGACTGAGAAATACATCCCACCATGCATAAACTAAGACAAAAAGCCCTGAAAAATCTAGCGGAGAAATGTCTTGCTTAAATAAAACTTCACAGGAAGGAGGGTAAAAGAAAAACCCTTGGAAAATGGGGTCAGTCATTTTTTCTGAAATAATCTCATTTTTGACTAACCTGTCACTCTCTTCTAAAAATCTAAATCTGAGGAATCAGAGAGACTTGAGAGGGGGCCCGAGAGAAGGGGCAGAGGGAGGAACGGTGAGGGAAGAGAGTAGGAGTTCGGGATAAAGCTTGCTGACCACTTGGCCTAGGAAAGGCAGAATGGCTGGGCTATTTTCCTTATTAGTTTTGCTTTTCTTTGTGTTTGTGTCTAGGAGTAACTGTGCAAGCTCTTTCCACAGTTCCTGTCATGTTCAGCTACTGGGTAAGTGTACAAACCGTCTCTACGTAGGTGAAGCTCATTGTATAATTATAGTGCATCCCCAAAATTCATATGTTAGAATTTGATTGTACTGTGAAGGTATTAAGAGGAAACTTAACATGGTCACAGTGTTGAAAGTCAGGGCCTTGAGCCAGGCGATAGTGTGGTAGTTAAGGCAGCTGGGTCTCACAGGGCTGACTGGCTAGCTCCAGCTAAGCCAATGGTTTGAGAAATATATCAGATGTGTGTGAGTGCATGCCCAAAATCCAGAAAGGAGGGAGAAATGGAGGAGAAGGGGTTGTAATCTGACTATCCCTCATGGGAATGCTTTCTCAGTTTTCTTCCCTTTCTCTTTTTCTGTCTTTATCTGCAAGTGTACATGCTAACAAAATAATTTTTAATATTAGTAAATAATGGGGCCAGCAGTTAGCGTAATGGCTATGTTGCTGGACTCTCATGTAGTTGACCACGGTTCTAGTCCCGGACCCGGTGACTTAAACTCGAGTTGAGCATGTGTGCATGCATGCCCAAGAGCCCGAGAGGAGAATGGAGGAGAAGGGATTGTGGCATGGCCATCCCATCAGGGTGTGATTTCTCACTTTCTGTCTCTCTGTCTCTGTCTTTCTGGCGAGTGCACGTGCCCTATAGCAAAAACCTCTCCAAAAAAAAAAAGAAAAAAAGTAAATAATAACAAAAAATAAAAAGCTTCTATGACTAATTGAGTCTATCAGAATAATCCTGCATAATTTTTCTATTAAAAGAAAACGAAAGAAAGAAACAAAGAAAAGGACTCAGAGGAATGGTTAGGTGACTAGGATGGAGTCCTCTGATTGACTCCTGGTGCGTTTATAAGGAAAAAGAAGCACCAGATACATGCTCCTGTTCTCTAACAATGCGACGTCTTCCAGAGCCCACCAACAGGAAAACCCTCACCAGGTGTGGCCCCTGACCTTAGACCTCCAAACAATGAGCCGAACAAACCTCTATGCTCTTAAATTACCAAGACTCTAGTGATTTTCTATTATTAGCAATGGAAGGGATTAGAACCAAGTTTGTGTCAACCTCCCCAGCAAGTGGACGGATGCCGCAAGTCTGAACAATGCTCCCACCGACCCCCACCCCCACCACTACCTTCCCCTTTAGCAGGATCCTTCAGCCTCTCCCACTGCAGTATCCCCTCCCAGACCTGTAATCTTTATTGTGTCCTTGCTCCAGGAGGGTAGCCAGCACCGTGTGACTCAAATAATAGATCCACAGGACATGTGGTTCAAAACCCAGCCTCATTCTCCACCAGAACTCACCTCTTTGGTGACTCATTTCTGTAATGCCTTGTTGGGGAACTGTCAAGTCAATTTATTCTGAAGTGAGAGTGGTTTTGAGATGGCCTAATATGTTACCTCTCCCAGGGATACACAATTCAGAAGTGGAGTCCTGGAGTTGGAGGCCCTTCCCCCAAGTGAATAAATCTTGAATGATAAAAGTCCTGGGCATGATTTTGAGCCAATGGAGGGAATTCCTGGTAAACAACTGAGGATGCACTGAGAACTGCTCGATCAAGCAGATATTTACTGCTATTGTGATTTAAGGCACAATGGAAATACTCCCGCTCATACGTACTTCCCCCACCTGTGCTCCTTAACCCAGTATTAGTGATTCTGTCTGCATCTGCTCCTGTGATTAGACTTACTGCTTAAAATAAAGTGCCCCTAAAGCCTCAATATGCCTGAATCTTTCGGACTGGGTACCACTCTGACTGGATGACTGGGACTATAGGGAGGATCAAATTCTTGGCAGTGGGGTGTTAAAGGGAAACAGCAAGGAAGACAGTTCCCTTTCCCTTTCCTTAGGACACCAGGAGCACCTCCCTGTCCCTTTTGTTGCCTTCCACAGAGCAGCTTAGCCAGACTTCCCAAAATAGTAAATGTGACTGGAGGCATGGGGAGGGGCTAATAAAAGGAAGGCGCCAGGAGGAGAAACAGGCAGGGCATCACGCCACCTGTTTTCCAGCCCCAGAGGCCTGTTCTCTCAGGTCAGTGTGAGAAGCTCCCTCTGGGCTGCAGTTAGGCCCAGCTCCAGCCCTTCCCTCCAGCTGTGCAGATGTGGACAGGCCACAGACCCATCCAGCTTGTAGCAGTGGACATACAGGCTGAAGTGTGGGCAGACTTGTGCAGGTTAGCACCATCCCCTGGCCCTGCAGACGCACACCAGGTCCATCCTTGCCCCCAAGCTGTGAAGACACACACAGGCCACCAGGCCCGTGACTGTGCCACTTGACCTGTGCTGCTTGTACTATGAATGCACGTAGTTCTCACACAGTCCCACAGCCCATCCCTGAGGTACAGCAGGCAGGTGCAGGCGACTCAAGCCCCACCCCCTAGCCAGACAGATTTGTGGCAGCTCTAGCTGGTATATAGTTCCTACCCAGCCTTTCAGCCTTGCAAGAGGGTATGCCAAGCCCCTCCCTTTACCAACAGTACCTCTACTGGCCCCATCTGCAGTGAACCACCAGCAGAGGAATGACACAGCCGTGCAGAGAATCAGGCACTAGAGCAGACAGCTTCCTCTATCTCCAAAGATTGCACACAAATGGCTAACTAAACAACCAGCCACCTCCTGCCTTACAATTTCTCAAACGCTTACCTCCTTCCTCTATGCAACCCATCCATCAAAAAATTTAAAGTAGGACTACAACATGACCCAACAATTCCACTATTGGATATATTCCCAAAGGAAATCTCTCGGTGACACATTTGTACATCCTTGTTTATTGCAGCATTACTCACAGTGGCTAAGTAACAGAAGCAATCTTAGTGCCCAGCAACTGATAAAACCTGGTATACATACAGAACGGAATACTACTGAGCCATAAAGAATAAAATCCTGCCATCTGACACAGAGGTGACAGACCTAGAAGATACCATGCTAAATGAAATAAGACAAACTATGAGAGACAAATACTCTAAGTTCCCCACTTCATGTATACCAAATGTCTGCATTCTATGGCAGAAACTGAAAGATTTCTAAGCATAGAAATGAAGAATGTAATTGTAGATTCCAGAAGCTTCTTGAGGTGGGTGGTTGGAGGCTTGTGAGAAAATACTTCCCTTTTTTTTTTTAGGTTTTGCTATTGGGCATGTGGTACTCACTAGAGAGAAATGGAGAGAGACAGCAAGAGGGATAGTGAAAAGTCCCCGGGGGGGATGACCACACCACAGTCTCTTCTCCTCCATTCTCCTCTTGTAATTTTGGGTATGCACAAATGCATGCCTGGCATGATTTACAAGCCACTGGGTCTGAGACTCAGACTGTGATCAGTTATGTGGGCATTCATTGCTATAACCACTACGCCACCTGCTGGCCCCAAACTATTTTTTTTCTTGGTGAGGTTTTTTGCTCTAGAGCACATGCGCTCACCAGAAAGACAGAGGCAGAGAGACAGAAAGCGAGAAATCACCCCCCAGGGGGGATGGCCACGCTGCAGTCCCTTCTCCTCCATTCTCCTCTCGGGATCTTGGGCATGCACACACATGCACCCGGTGTGAGTTTAAGCCACCATGTCCAGGACCTGAACCGTGGTTGGTTACATGGGAGTCCAGCAACATAGCCCTTACGCCAACTGCTGATCCTAGCCCGGAACATTCTTAATAGTCATAAACATACATGTAAATTAGGGGAAAAGGCTATGGAATGGTGTACCACAGTAGAGTAAAAAATTAGCACAGTATGTATTTCAAAACAAACTAATGAAACTATTATCAAATGTGCACAATATAATGTAATATTCAATGTGAAAAAAGATGAATATGTGTATATTCTTGATTATTATACATTGTGTGTGAGTGCTTTAAAGAACCTTCCTGTACCCTCAAAAGATGTACATTGAATGTATGTAAACTAGAAATCATAATAGTTAAGAGAAAAGAAAATAGTTAGGGGAACTGAAAGCAAAGTTTGCCTTAGAATCTTGCTGGGGCCAGCCCAGACTGTCACGTGCAACAGGAAGGACAGGGAGGAAAAACAAGTAAAGGACAGGTCCACGAGCTGCCCTGGCATCCCTCTAGCAGGTACGACAAGGAGCTGTTGTGATCATGGCCACAAGTCCCTAGCTAGCCCCAGCCTGGCAGGAAGAGGGAGAAGTTTCCAAGACCTGTCTGCAGTTAGCAGTGGCTCATCTTTATTCCATCTGTAGAGTGAGGATGCCAGGCCAGTAACTGTGTCGATCTCTTCTGATTCTAGCCTTGGTTTTTCTAATTAATCATCAATGTAATAGCAGTTTTCTTTGTATTTACTAAGATTGTCTTCTGGGCCTTCAGTGGCCAATTACTTTCCCAATCTTCCCTTAGTTTTCTAAGAGGTAAAAGCCATTGAGAATAATAAGTGTTTGAGACATGCAGGGGCCTCATTCAGAGTTTATGTCTGAAGAAGCAGGTTTTGAATTATGTAGTTTTCTTTTTCTTTCTTTCTTTTTTTTTTTGGAGAGGTTTTTGCTATAGGCGTGTGCACTCGCCAGACAGACAAAGAGAGACAGAGAGTCAGAAAGTGAGAAATCACCTCCCAGGGGGGGATGGCCACGCCACAATCCCTTCTCCTCCATTCTTCTCTCAGGATCTTGGGCATGCACGCACACGCTCCTGGCATGAGTTTAAGCTACCAGGTCCAGGACTCGAACCATGGTCGACTACGTGGGAATCCAGCGACATAGCCATTATGCTAACTGCTGGTCCCTGAATGATGTACTTTTCTCTTTCCTGTCTCCACCAGGCCAAACCTCAGGACACTCTAGATCTGTGCCAGTTTTTAAACAACGACCTAGCTGCCACTGTTGCAAGCCACCCCAGAAGGTTTGTGGGTTTGGGGACATTGCCCATGCAAGCCCCAGAACTGGCCATCAAGGAGATGGAGCGCTGTGTGAAGGAGCTGGGTTTTCCAGGCGTCCAGATCGGCTCCCACATCAATGAGTGGGACCTGAATGTGCAGGAACTCTTCCCCGTCTACGAGGTGAGTATGAAGCACTCTGTCCATGCACAGCTGCTGGGACCATTATCACACCGGATGCTGGCTGGAAGAAGATGAAGTTGCTATCCCATAGGGATAGAAAGAGAAGTGCCCATGGCATGTGAGGCAGGAGGTGCAGGGACGATTTCCAAGAAAGGAGTGGGCCATTCTACAGAAGAAATTTCTAGGCCAGGCCAGTATTAACTCAGTGAAATTTCTCTTCTTTCCATCCCCCTTGCTCTTCTTTTAATCTTTCATTTGGAAGCCTGGTATCGCCCTTACAGCAGCCACTGTGCAGAAGAACCATGTTAATGACATGCCAAGATGTATTTATTTTTACTATGGAAAGAAATATATAACATGTGAAAAATACAGAAAAGCATGAAAAGGAAAACAAACACCACCCATAATCTTAGCACCAAAAAATAAGTAACCACTATTATACTATAGTCCATCCACTTTTTATTTGCATATTTCTATATTATAATGAAATTGGAATTCTATTATACATGTGACATTGTGTCCTAATTGAGAATTTCTAACCTAAATGAAAATTCCCTTAAAGCGTGACTTTTAAATAACTGCAGACTATCCAATATATAGATATGGTTTGATATGTTTAACGAATCCTTAATTAAGACACTTTCTAAGCCATAGATTTTGAAAATGTATAACAATACAAGTGAAAAGTGCCATGAAAATGTTAACATTTGATGAGGCTAGATGGTATGTGGATGTTCACTGTACATCAAAACTTCAGTGCTATGGCACCAGCATTTGGTGTAATGGCTATGTTGCTGGACTCCCATGTAATGGACCAAGATTCAAATCCCAGACTCGGTGGCTTAAACTCACGCCGGGCACATGTGCATGCATGCCCAAGAGCCTGAGAGGTGGAGAAGGGATTGCGGTGTGGCCATGCCCCTGGGGGGTGATTTCTCACTTTCTGTCTCTCTGTCTCTCTCTTTCTGGCAGGCGCATGTGCCCTATAGCAAAAAACTCTCTAAAAAAAAATAAATAAAAATCCAGTGCTATCATTTCTTAAGTAACTAACTTCCAATGCGCATAGGCCCATAGCCCAGCCTCCCAGTTTTCCTCTTCCTCTACTTTCTGTTCTTTCTATAACTAAACCTACTCTCCTCGGTACCAAGATTGTAGATGTGTAATCCTTTACTCATTAGCATTTTTCAATTTCTTACTAGAGTTCCTCCCGGAATTATAATATTATTTTTATTATTTTCATTGTAAATGCAAAAATCTCTCATAATGGTTAAATCGATGTTTATGGACCCACCAGGCACTGTAACCACTGATTATTTATTCATTTAATATTTATTGAGCTCTAATAACCTGAAAATGTTTTACATGTTTGTATCTATGGTGATTGCCCACCAGTTGAAGGACTGCTTGCTAAATTGCCTCCTAAAGACCTGGAATATTTAATGTTCTTCTAACATTAAACTCCCTGGAACTCCTTGGCTGCAGTGGGTTAGCTGATGCAGTGAATGTTTTTGAGAAAATTTTAATGGGCTTTGAAAGAGAACTATTTACTTGAGAATCCAAGTTATTTCAGCACAGTGTGACTTTAGCGGCAAGTCATTTTATTATTCACTGGAATTGGGCTTATGAATTACTAAGAGGCTGAAAAACAGCAGAAGCCAGTTGGAGTCTGCATGGATATTTTCATCTGTGTGACTAGATCAACTGATCAATCCTTCTCACTAGGCTGTTTGGGGAGCTGCCAGTCCCTGAGGGGACTGAGGAGACAAGCTGGCCC